TCCAGCCTGGGCAATTGAGCGAGACTCTGCCTAAAAAAAAACAAATTAAAAGAGAGTATTTTTGAGGGCGTGGGCCAGGGACAGGATGTCGATGACATGAAACTGTCCCGATACCCAAACCCTGGCTGTGTCCTCTGACCCAGGCTGTCCAACGGCACGCCCATTGCAGCCGACTACGTCCCGGCCGAATCGTACCCTCCTCATTGTTATAAATGAAAGCCCTCAGGACCTCCCAGCGAGACTGTGTTTGCAGACATGGTCTTTAAAAAGGCGATTCAGGTAAAATGAGGTCACCAGGTGGGGCCCTGATCCAGCTGGACTATGGACCTTATAAAAAGAAGAGGTGAGGACACTGACATGCACACAGGGCACCTCATGGAGACTCAGGGAGAAGACAGCATTCACAAGCCAAGGACAGAGGCCTCCGGAGGAGCCACCCGCCCACACCTTCATCTCGCCCTTCCAACCACCAGGACCTTGGGAGAATCAACATCTACTATTTAAGCTGCCCGGCCCGTGGGACTTTGCTACGGCAGCCCCAGGAGACAAACACGTTCCTATTGAGGTGAGGGAGTTATCTCTGTTAAGGGCTGAGTCTTGCACCTCCGAAATTTACACATTGAAGGCCTAATCCCCGGGACCTCGGAACATGACTGTGTTTAGAGAGAAGGGTTCAATGAGGTCTTTATAAAAACAGGAGGTGAAGACACAGACACACACTGAGGGATGACCCTGTGAGGACACAGGGAGAAGACGGTGTCTCCAAGCCCAGGAGAGAGGCCTCAGGAGGAGCCAGCCCTGCCCACACCTGATCTCAGACCTGCAGCCTCCAGGACTCTGGGAGAATAAGACCCTGCTGTTTCTAAGCCACCCAGCCTATGGTGTTCTGTGATGCCAGCCTGAAACGGACTAAGATACGTCATAAGAAGAGGAGGTGACACAGACACACACACAGGGATGACCACGTGAGGACTCAGAGAGAAGATGGCATCTGCAGGCCCAGGAGAGAGGCCTCAGGAGGAGTCGGCCCTGCCCACACCTGGATCTGGGACCTCCAGCCTCCAGGACTGTGGGAGAATCCAGGCTGTTGTCTAACCTGCCCGCCCAGTCTGATTTTATTGTAGCAACTCCGGGAAGCCATTGCTGTGCCCTGCAAAGTGAGATGTATGGATCTGCAGCCTCAACATCCCCCAGGAGCTGATGAGAAACACTGTGTCCTCAGCCTAGCCAGACCTGCTGACGCATAGTCCGCGTGTCATCCAGGTCCTGAGGGACCATGTGCACATGCCACTCGGGGGAGACTGCATTGTCTGCCTACACTCCTCTTGGCCTCTCAGAGCAGTGGTCCTTCCTTCTGGGCATGGGGGCAGGACCCTTTCTGGGATGGGGGTCTTAGGACACCCAAAGCAGGCATGTCAGGGAACTTCCCTGTGGCCAGTCTTGATACAGATAGGATGGAGGGAAGGTTAGAGTCCTGTCTTCAGGTTTTGTGGCTGGCTTTGGGGGAAAGGCATTCTTGTTTCTAGGACCCGCCTGGGGGAAGAGACATTCTAGTTCCTATAGTGCCTCGGGGGAGGACGGGACTCAGACACAGGAGGGCTGGAAAAGTTCTGAGAGAAACTTCTGCTTCGGAGGCTGGCACTCAGGTATGGTTTCCTGAGCCCGAACAACTTGTAGGTCTGAATCCACGTAAAGAATGCGGGCAGCCAGCGAAGTCCAGTAAGAAGCATCTTTGAATCCAGCAGGGGTGGAATTTGAACCCAGGAGGGGTTCAGAGCCTGCGGTCTGCAGAAGAAGTCCTCCAAGCCGACATCTCATGTTTTTGCTCTGGAAGGTCCTAAGGTCAGCCGTACTGGAGGCTTCTTTGTCACTTGTGGCCCTCCTACCCAGCTACGGGAGCCATTTGATCGACATCTCCAGGACGCCAGCAACCAAAGGACCAATGTCATAGACCCAGCACAAAATGAGGTTGCGGATTCCAGAACACGAACGAGGATTTGGTTAAAAGCCGCTGAGTTCACTGAAGCAAATCAGCGAGGCAAATGGGAAACACATCTCCTGTTCCTGCCCCGTGGAAAATGAACCCGGGAAAGCAAAAGCATCACGTGTGGCTCCTGAGCTTGGAGCAGACACCCCGGAGTCAGCGTGGTCTCCCAGCCCATGAGGACCCCGACCGTGGCTTTGCTGCAACCTGCCTGGAGAGGAGAGAGGACAGGGGGCCCTGCCTGTGAGATGGATTTCCTGCCTGGCGGGCAGGACTAGAGACTGTCTCAGTGCCCAGGCGGCCTGACGCTGCCAGAGTCTGCCTGATTTATATAATGAGGTCTGGGTGTGACCTACAGCGGCCTCGTGTGTGTGAGTCACACATGCAGCAACTTCTGGCTGCAGTGCCACCCCTGAGACCTAGCAAAGCTCCAAACCACCCTCCTCCACTTCCTCTGTGACACTCCACCCCCCCCTCCCATTCCTGCCACCACCCAGGGCCATCAGGACCATCTCAAAGCTGGAGGAGCCTCTCTGCAACCTGGCCGCCCGCTGCAGAGTGAACAGAGCTGCCACCTGCCTGGTTTATGCAACTGCATTTCAGAGAGAACGGTCTGGGAGGGGAGGCACCTGTGGTTCTTTAAATAGGAGGGAGGGGCCAGGCGCACAGACGGGAGGAGATTGTAATGTGATTGCTTAGCGGATGCCTGGAATTGCTGGGTTGGGCTGAGATTGCTCAACAGTGGATGGGGACTGCAGTCTAAATTATCAGGGTGCTGAACTCTGGGGTCCTAGACCGGTGTCTTGACTGGAACTGCTGACAGCCTTGGAGGGGAAATATCTCATGGATCCAAGAGGCTGACGTGGCTCCTCTCCTGCAGCCCAGTCTCAGCAGCTTGGACAATGATGGCCAAGGCAGCTGGAGGAGGCCAGGAGCAGTGGCTCACGCCTGTAATCCCAGCACTTTGGAAGGCCGAGGGAGGCAGATCAGTTGGGATCAAGAGTTCGAGACCAGCTTGGCCAACATGGTGAAACCCCATCTCTACCAAAAATACAGAAGTTTGCTGGGCGTGATGGCGCATGCAGTTGTAATGCCAGCTACTCAGGGGACTAAGGCAAGAGAATTGTTTGAACCCAGTGCAGTGGGCCGAGATTGTGCCATTGCACTCTAGCCTGGGTGACAGAGCAAGACTCCGTCTAGAAAAACAAACATATAAAAAAAAACCCAAAAAACAAAAATACAGAGAGAGCTGGAGGGAGCAAAGAAGAGCCGGGTTGTTCTTGAAGATGAACCTGTAGCAATCACTGGCGGCAGAGAATGTCATCTGAGAGGGACGTGTGTGCTCCCCAAGTTGGAAGGAAACGGCTGTGTGGGACCAGGGGCAACTGCTGTGTGCACTCCTGCCTGGGGGTACACCTTCTGCTCCGGAGAGGCCCTCATTACCTCCACAAGGTGCCGCAAAGCCTGCCCTGGTGGCATCTGGATGGAGCCATGCCACAGGCTGTACAAATCGATGTTGTAGCCCTTGAACCTTCCTCCAGAGCAAGCAACACCCAGGCAGACAGATTTCTGGGAGAGAGACAGACATCAGAGGTGGCGGAGACCCAGCACCGATGGCTTACCTGGTTTAGCCTCCTCCAGGGCTTAGTGTTTGAGCAAGAGGTTGTTCCCCCTGGACAATTCTGCAAATTCTGACTGTGCTCCTGCCTTGCCCTAAACCTCCCAGAAGATCAGGTTCTTCCTTTGGGAAATGTGCCTGCTGGTGATGACAACATCCTTGGGTGGGTGGATGAGCTGCTTAGATGCCTGGCATTACTGCAACAGAACTCAATGCATAAGAAGCGCTGATTCGATGCCCTCCCGCCTGCATCCTCTACCTCCCGATAAGTTCTCTGGTGGTGTTTTCTCTACGGGGTAATAGTGGCAGGGGGAAAGGGAGGAACAAAAGGCAAGGTGCACATATATGTCAGCAGGAGGGACACTTCATCCTTAAGAATTCTGCAGTGTGTTTTCAATGATGAGTCACAAAGACTCGAATGTTCTCATCTCTGCTGCAGACACATTCATTAGGTTAACTGCTTTTGGATCAGGTGGGAACCGCAGCTTGTGCACACAGGTTCCTGACCCCGTATTTGTCAGTGTAGGCTGGCTGCTGTAACAAACAGTCCCCAAAGAATTAAAAGTTTATCTCTTGTTTGCATTGCAGCCAGGTGAGGTGGCACAGGTGTCCTCTGCTCCATACAGTCTCTCAAGGATCCAGGATCCTCATATTGTTCTGCTTCACCTTTTTCTAGGGCAGCCCTTCTCAACTAGATTCTCTCTTTGTGTGTGTCAGAGAGAATGAGTGTGTGTGTGTATGTGTGTGCATGTATATGTATGTGTGTGTGCATGTATATGTATGTGTATGTATGTGTGTGTATATGTATGTGTGTGCATGTGTATTTGTGTGTGCATGTGTATGTGTGTATGTGTATGTGTGTGTGTGTGTGCACATGTGTGCATGTATGTTTATGGGGGGAAATGCCAGTCCTAAGCTGTGAGTGGAATGGTCCAGGAGAAGTCTATGTGCCCGGAGAGAGGCTTCGTTCAACGTTCCCTGGCCATGAGCAGGAATGGCTCGGGTTGCAATGTGGATGCATCTCAAAAGCCTCATGCTCAGTGAAAGAAGCCAGGCACAAAATACCACATATCGTGGGATTCTATTTATACGAAATTTGCAGAACAGGCAATTCATGGATCAGGCAGTCCAACAGGAGGTGTATTAGTGGTTGTCAGAGGCTGGGGAGGCAGCAGAGGGAGTGACTGCTGAATGGGGACAGGGGTCTTCCTTTGGGTGAGAAGTATGTTCTGGGAGGAGATAGAGGTAGTGGTTGCATCTCCCACGTAGCTCATGGTTAGTTGTAGTGCTCTGGCGACCCGGGGCTTGCAGGAGGAGGGAAGCAGCCTGAGGTGATGAATGAGGAGGATTCTGGCCTTTCCATCATGCTGTGACTTGTGACCTGTTTGCTCCCAATAGGTCAGAGACTTTGACTTGGCAGACGCCCTTGATGAGCCTGGTAAGTGCCAATATTTCAGGGGGAGCCTTCTCTTTGCAGCTTGGGTCTAATTGCTTTGGAGTTGGTTTGGGCCGGTGTTTGGAATTTCTTGGTGTCGAGAGCTCTTTTCTTTACAGGAGATTGCAGACGCCTTGAGACAAACTTTTACACAGTCTCTAAAAGTCTCAGACTCATTTCTTGGTAGGTCTGTGCTTCTGAAGCCTGTAGTTTAGAAGTATGTAGTATTTTATTATTTTATTTTATTGAGATGGGAGTCTTTCTCTGTTGCCCAGGCTGGAGTGCTGTGGTGCCATCGTAGCTTACCACACAGCCTTGACTTCCTGGCTCAAACAATCCTCCCACCTCAGCCTCCCAAGTAGCTGGAACTACAGGTGTGTGCTCCCGTGCACAGCTCATTTTTTTATTTTTTTGTAGAGACGAATCTCACCATGTTGCCCAGGCTGGCCTCAAACTCCTGGGCTCAAGGAATCCTTCCACCTTGGTCTCCCAAAATGCTGGGATTACAGAGACACAGCAGCATGCCTGGCTCAGTTCTGCTTTTTTACGCTTAAGTTCATATCCGTCATTGTCCCGCACCCTGATCTGAATCTGTGGCCCGCAGTCTCCCCTCCCAGAGCACAGTGCATCTCCATTCTCCTATCGGAGCTGCCAGTGAAGGTGAGCACTCCCGACCTGATGTCCTCATCCACGCGATACACGTTTGCTGAATGAATAAATCCGTGAATGAAAGTGAGAGAAAAGCCATCATTCTAGAAGCTGTAAGGCTTTCTCCCTCTTTGCTTTTGCCTCCCTCCCCACCCCACCTACTGTCCGGCTCTGTGGTGGTTCTAGGGATGGGGTCACTCACTTGTCTTGGATGCTCTCAGCTTCTTTGGCCATCCTGTGGGCATCCTCACAGCCTCAAGGGCAGATTGTTTTTGAATGGATTTTAAGGGTATTTACTTGCTTTTTTACCCAAATAGACCATGGAATTTGTGTCCAGATCATTTACTTTGTCACTTACTTTTTATATTTCATTGGGGTGTTAATGGCTTTTTATTTTTATTTTTTTGAGATGGAGTCTCACACTGTCACCCAGGCTGGAGTGCAGTGGCGCAATCTTCGCTCACTGCAGCAACCTCCATCTCCCAGGTTCAAGTGATTCTCCTGCACCAGCCTCCCAAGTAGCTGGGACTACAGGCTGACACCATACCCGGCTAATTTTTTGTATTTTTAGTAGAGACAAGGTTTCACTGTGTTGGCCAGGCTCCTCTTGAACTCCTGACAGTGTGATCCACCCATTTTGGCCTCCCAAACTGCTGGGGTTACAGATGTGAGCCACAGTGCCCAGCCCTTTCTTTGTGCTTCTGACGAATCTTCGATGCATATTGCATTTATTTTCTCTTTGTTCACAGAACCCACCAAGAAGCCAAACTCAGGTGAGTGACTCTTTGGCTGGGAGAAACTGAGGCAATGTCCTTGAACTGATGCTTATGGATGGATGCTTGAGGGTGTTTTACAGAATTATGTGGGTGTGTTAAGGAGATGCTACCAGATAATAGATATTAAAAGCAAAATGTGGTGATTAGGGAAATGCAAATCACAACCACACGGAAGCAGCACTGGGATGGCTAAAATCTAAAATGGAAAATAACAAGTGTTGACAAGGTTGTGAGGAAACTGGAATGCTTGCACATTGCTGGTGGGAGTCTAAAATGGTACAGCCACTGTGAACAAATACTTTTGTGGATCCTTAAAAAGTTAAATACAGAATTATTCTATAATTCCACTCCTAGATGTATACTCAAAATAATTGAAAACAGGTATTCCAAGAACCACTTGTATGCAAATGTTCACAGCAGCACTATTCATTATGGCTCAAAGATAGAAATAACCCATGTGCTCATCAGTGGAAGGAATGGATAAACAAAATGTGGTCCACCCACATGATGGAGTATTATTTAGCCTTGAAGAGGAATGAAGCACTGATAATTGCTACAAAGTGGTTCAACCTCAGAAACATTTTGGAAAGAGAGAGAAAGTAAGATCACATAGTATATATTTTTATGAATATGAAATTTCAAGAACAGGCAAATCTCTAGGACCCGAAGCAGTGTTGTGACCGCCAGTAGCTGGAGGGGAAAGGGAGAGTGACTGCTTGATGAACTCCAGGGCTCCTTTCAGGGAATGAAAGTGTTCTGGAAGTACACAGAGGTGATGGTTGCACAACGTTATGAATGTTCTAAATGCCCCTGAAGTGTTCACTTTGAGATGGTTAATTTATGTGTAAATTTCACCTCATTTTATTTATTTATTTTTCAATTAAAAAGGTACCTTTTGTTCTAGGGCAGTGGCTTATGCCTGTAATCCTAGGACTTTGGGAGGCCAAGGTGGTGGATCACCTGAGGTCAGAAATTCAAGATCAGCCTGGCCAACATGGCAAAACCCCATCTCTAATTAAATATACAAAAGTTAGCCAGGCATGATGGCATGGGCCTGTAATCCCAGCTACTCCAGAAGCTGAGGCTGGATTGAACACAGGAGGTGGAGGTTGCAGTGAACCAAGATCATGCCACTGCACTCCAGCCTGAGTGACAGAGTGAGATCCTGTCTCAGAAGAAAGAAAAAAAGAAAGCCGTAGCTCAGAGACAGAGGAATTGAGCAATGCATAGGTTCAGAAGGGCTGGAAACAGAGTGACTAAATTGTGTCTTGGCATTTGAGAGAGGTTGCGGCTATAAAACAATGAAAGAAGAAAGCAAACTCTACGGAGGCAGGGCTGAGCCAACCGGCTCTTCTTGTGGATATGTGATCAACTGTCAACCTCGTGCCATCCTTTCGCGCAGGCTGGAGTGCAGTGGTGCCATCTTGTCTCACCACAACCTTCTCCTCCTGGGTTGAAGCAATTCTTGTGCCTCAGCTGGGACTACAGGCACGTGCCATCATGCCCGGCTAATTTTTGTATTTTTAGTAGAGATGGGGTTTGAACAAGTTGGCCAGGCTGGTCTCAAACTCCTGACCTCAGGAAGTGCTGAGATTATAGGTGTGAACCATCGCGCCTGGCCTCATGGAATACTCGAAAATAAACTGCAGGTGGATTACAAACCTGAATGTAAAAGAAAATAATGGGTTTTTTATTGAAAAATAGAGGGAAATGTCTTATAATCTCAGGGTTAGGAGATTTTTCTTAGATAAGATAAGAAAAGCATGACCTCGCCTGTTATGTAACCTCCAGGTACTCAGGAGGCTGAGGCATGAGAATCGCTTGAGCTCGGGAGGTGGAGATTGCAGTGAGCCGAGATAGCGCCATTGCACTCCAGGTAGGCTATAGAGTGAGACTTCATCTCAAAGAAAAAGCATAACCTTTAAAAATGTGTAAATTAGACGATGTCTACATTTTTTAAATAACAATAATAATGTTACGACTTCGAGCTCTAAAAAAGTCAGATTAGCTGTCAAATGGAGGCTCCTTGCTGCTTATATCACCAGGGAAACCTTAATATTATTGTTCGTGGGCACTAGTTGTAGGATCCCTGCTTCCCTGCAGACACCAAAATCTACAGGTGCTGAAGTCCCTGATATAAAATGGTGTAGTATTTGCATACAATGCCAGTATATGTTCCTGTATCTTTTGATTTATTTATTTATTTGACCCAGAATCTCACTCTTATCCAGGCTGAAGTGCAGTGGCATGATTTTGGCTCACTGTAACCTCCACCTCCCAGGTTCAAGAGATTCTCGTGACTCAGCCTCCAAGTAGCTGGGATTATAGGTATTCGCCACCACTCCCAGCTGATTTTTGTATTTTTAGTAGAGACAGGTTTTAATCATGTTGCCCAGGCTGGTTCCAAACTCCTGACCTCAAGTGATCTGCCCACCCCGGACTCCCAACGTGCTGGGATTACAGGTGTGAGCCACTGCTCCCTGCGTGAAATATTTTCAATACACGCATAACCTGGCTTGTAGTCCCAGCTACTCAGGAGGCGCTTGAGCTCGGGAGGTAGAGTTTCCAGTGAGTGGAGATCATGCCATTGGATCTACAGATGCGGAAATTCTGGTCAGAGAGCACAAATTGTGGATACATAGCTCCTACCCCAAAACAGAAGGATGGCAAAAAGAAAGAAAAAAAAAATGGACGAGAGCGACTATGAGGGAACTGAGAGGGTTATGATCATTCCATTTGCTGAAAGAAAAATTCAAAGACAGAATCACACACAGTTGACCAAAATGGATAAAACAAGTCTACTGGGGTGGGCAGCGGTGGTGCCCTGGGAGGCGAGAGAGACGGAGATGGTGTTGGTTTCAGACAAGATAGTTGCACAGGAACTCGATAGGGAAAAGGGGAATGGGTTGTGGGGACCAGGGGAGCTGGAATTCTGCCTGGGGAATCAGCCAGTGCCAACGGGTGAACCAGGGGAGGGCAGGTGTAGGGTACAGCCCTATGGGGCTCTGTGAGCCCCTCCCTGCTGGTGTAGAAATAAAAGGCACAAGACATGGAGATTGAGAAAAGAGAGTTTGGGCCCAGGGGTCCACAGCTACTCAGATCGTGGAGACCAGCAGTGGCCCCAAATGCTGGGACGCCCTGACTTTTATTGAGTTGCAAATCTGGGGGCAGGGAAGGTAGGGCATAGGTAGGGCGTGGTCCTGGTGGTGGGTGACTGGGGACAGGGCAAAATAGGGCATGGCATACAGGTGGGGGCTCAGGAATTGATGGCACCCCAAGTGAGGTAAGGAGCATAATGCATCAGCACCTTTCCCATACTTACCAAGAAAGAACTAAAGCATTAAGGTTTGTGCTACTATTACTGATTATCTTTTCTAAGAAAAGGGGAACCAGGTGCAGAAGCAGAGCATGAGTAGCCATGGAACATGACCCCTGAAGCACAGCACCACACAGGGACAATTAAGTCCCGGGATGTCCGCGGGCCTCCCTGACAGCGGTCAGGCTTACCACTTGGAGAAGCGGAGTTTTCTCCTCACTCCCTTGAGGAAGGAGACGTCTTGGCCATCTTGGACATCTCCTTCCCTGGCTGGCTAAACAGCAGGTGCTTTCACAGCACTGACACTGTCGCACAGCTGAGGCACCCTCCAGCAGCTCTTTTTGCAGGCGTGACAGAGGACATAAAGCATCTTGCCTTAGGGTCATTCATTCCACGATGTCACCCCAGGTTCACACTTCCAACCTGAGAGGCATTAGTAAAAGAATTAAGATCACCTATAAATAACTAAGATTGCATATGAGTAACTACTAACTACGAACTACTGTTCATTTCTAGTTACTTTCTTCTTCATTATATATAGGGAGATAGGCTGAGGCCTTCTGCTCCTGCCTCCGCAGTTATGGGGTCTTTTCCCTACAGGCAGGGGGTTAGGAGCCTGCCTATGGTGATGCTGAAGCCCCGGGGCGGGTGCCTAGTTGAAGGGCCAAGAGGAGCCGTCAGGAGAGAAGAGTCTCCTTCAGGCTTGTTTCAGGACTCGGGGCAGGATAGGAGATGATGGTGGAGGATTCTGAGCAGGGGACGGCCTGGGTGGGAGCGGGACAGAAGGAGAGCTGGACAGGGACGGGGTGACAGGCGACACCGGCTCATCCAGGAAGGAAGGCCAGGAGGGAGCAGAGGGAAAAGGGGCGTGCAAAGGTACAGAGCAGGAGCAACGGGGACATCCAGGGAAGGAGGGAAGTGCAGGGCATTGTGAGACGGGGCACCCTGAGAGAGGGGTCCAGGCAGCAGGAAGACACCACAGCCTGAGCTATACCCCAGCTCACGGTCAGCCCTGGGAGGGCTTTGAGCAGAAGAGGGGCGAGAGCCCACACCTTGAGGCCACCTGCCGCGGTCCTGGGCCCTGCACATGCCTCCTACAGGCTGGGCGGCTGCCCACGAGGTCATTTAATGCCTGGTGCCTGCGGGCATCCTGCCAAGAGCCCGTTGGCATCGGCATCATGCTGTCCTCCAAAACCTGCCCCAGTGTCCCCAACGCAGACCTGCTGTGAAGGGGACCTCTGGAGAGGACGCGTTAGCAATGCCGTGTGCTCTGCCCACAGGTTATTTCAATGATGGGGACCGCAATGACTGACACTACCCACCCAGGCCCAGGCCACCTGCAGGTAGGTGCTGAGCCTCCCCAGGAGGGACACGTGGATTTGCTCAGAGAGGGCGGTGAGAGGCCTGAGGTTGGGGAGAGAGGGACGCCCAGTCCAGGGGCAAAGTTGGTCACGGGTGGACGATAGGCTGATGCAGGGGCTGACGCAGAAGGCCCCGTGGCTGCATCAGTGGCGTCGCGGTCTGGGCATCTGTCTGCCTCTCCAGGCTGGTGACGGGATGGAAACAAAATGAACAGATTCAACTGGAGGCTCCATGGACACACGTGTGGGCATTTCTGCTCAGACTCCACATGTGCAAGTGTGACCGTCTGTGCCTCGACACAGCTTCATGCACATTGCGTGCTTAGCCCCCTCCATCAGTGTGTACACGAATGTTCCACGTCCGTATCTGTGTCTCTATATGCTTTCAAATATACATAAACACATTTACATATGCATGGATATGGGTTTTTATGTTTTTATATATTTCTGACTTTGTACACATGCTTGTATATCTTTATACATGTATATGTTTTATATTTGTGTATGTCTGTATATTTATATACCAATATAGGCTTTTGTATATAATTATGTATCTATATGTATATTTTTTAATATATCTTTATATATTTTTAATATATCTTTATGTGTATCTTTGAATACATATACATTTTATATACATATTTATATTTTATATATATATTTATGTATACCCATCTTTACATACATAATTAAGTATATCCCTTTACTTATACATATCTTTATATATGTACATATATACTTTTATGTGTATATGCTTTTATATGTGTATGTGTATATAGATTCACTTTTATATATACACATGTATATATCTTTGTATAAATTTATGTGCACTGACGCCTTTTTGTGTATATACCTTTATTTACATTATAAATATATATACACACAAAGTTATATATACATGTGTATGTATCTTTGTGTAGGTATGTACATGTCTTTATATATGTTTACAAATATCTTTATATATCTATATACAGCTTTTATATATGTATACACACTTACATAAGTACATATTTTATATATCTGTAGATGTATATTTTATTTAATTTCTTTCCTTCTTTTTTTGACCTGAAGTCTTGCTCTGTCACCCAGGCTGGAATACAGTGGCACAGTCTCTCCTCACTGCAACCTCTGCCTCTCAGGTTCAAGTGATTCTCTTGCCTCAGCCTCCTGAGTAGCTGGGATGACAGGCGCCCTCCACCATGCCTGGCTAATATTTGTATTTTTAGTAGAGATAGGATTTCACCATGTTGGCCAGGCTGGTCTCGAACTTGTGTCCTCAAGTGATCCACCCACTTTGGCCTCCCAAAGTGGCGTGATCCACCACAGCTGGTCTATATGTGTATCTTTTAATATATCTTCATGTACATATACATTTTATATGCATTTTGATATTTGTGTACATTATGTAAATGTATGTTTTATACATATATAAATATATACCTTTATTTATATATCTGTATATATGTACATATATACCTTTATGTACATGTGCTTTTATATAGGTATATGTATATTTATACAAACTTATGTCTTTATGTGCATATCTTTATATAGAGATATATGTATATATCCGTATATAGTCTTTATATATGTGTAAATATATAAGTATATATTTTATGTGTATATATGCATTCTTTGTACATGCACACATTTGTTCATATCTTTTCATATTTGTATGCATATATAGCTTACATGTTTCTATATTATAGATACATATGTACCTTCATATATGTATGCATACTTTTTTATATATGTGTATATATGTCCCTTTACATATGTGTATATATACTTTTAGGTTATGTGTGTGTGTGTATATACACCTTTATATGTGTACATATATCTTTATGCACACAGACATATGTAAAACCTTCTAATATAAAGTTTTCTCTGTAATTGGAGGTGAATGTCTACCAAGAATCTTTCATATGGAAATGCAAGCATGGACAATAGGAGGCAGAGATGCATGCAACACTGGGCTGAAGAGTGTGACGTTTGAGGCTTTAGTTTCAAGCACATGAGGTTTCTGGTGTGTTTAGTTCTGCAGCTCTCCTTTAGAAGACATAAAGGACTTGTCCTAGATATTTTGCAGAGCTGGGCATGTATCCTTCAGACACCCTGATTGCATCCAGTCATCTATTCTGCCACGTTTGCTTGCAGTAAATAAGGAGCATTGTCTTGGAATTTATGACATTTACAATCAGGAATAAACGAAAAATAACTAGTTATTTTTGAGAAGAGAAACTAAGATATTTGTGATTGAGACCATCTTCTGGAAGGTCCTTCTAATCCTGCCTCCGTGGCTGTTCTCATATCGGTTTCTCAGCAGGAAGAGGGTTAGCCTGCAGGAATTTGGAGTTGGCAGAGTAAGTGTTTGTTCTGTGATGGCAAAGTGTGTTTTATAGCCCGAGCTCAGTGTTGGCTTGAGTTTTCCCACAGGGACGAGGAAGCTTTGGTGTGGCCTCCCTTGACTCTCCCCAATGCTGATCACTCTTTGGAGCTCTCTTGGGAATGACACAGTCACTCGACTCCCAATGAGCTGGACAGACCACCTGCAGGAAATTCCATGCTCGGATCCCTCAACATCCTTCAACTCTACCTTCTCTAACAGGAGGCGGCAGCGGTGGTTACTCCAGTTATGACACCGGCGACACACACGGTACCCCCACATCTGGGCACGCGGTGGTGGGCGGAGGGTGGGAGGGGTTATCTCTCTGGGATCCCGGTTGCATTCTGCCCTGGGCCTTCTACCTGGAGTTTTTGGTGAGTGGGATGCTCTGTGCTGGTGCCTGGTCTTGCTGTCCAGTTTCTGTTCCCCAGGATGGTGGGTGCAGCCACACACACACACACGCCACATACACACACACACACACACATACACGTACACTTACATGCACACACCACATACACACACATAAACACACACATACATGCACACATACACACACACACATACACACACACCTCTGTTTAGGTAAACATAAACAGCAAAGAAGTATACAACAGATTAGAGAGAGAGAGCATCCAACGAACGGAAATCCAACGAACGGGAAATTCTTTAGGGGTGCAGCTCACTTACATCAAACACAATAGAAAACACCTACTTTTCTTTTTTTTGAGACAGCGTTTCGCTCTTGTTACCCAGGCTGCAGTGCAATGGTGTGATCTCGGCTCACCACAACCTCCGCCTCCTGGGTTCAGGCAATTCTCCTGCCTCAGCCTCCCCCGAGTGGCTGTGACTATAGGCACGCGCCACCATGCCCAGCTAATTTTTCTCCTTGGACCGGGATGGTCTCGATCTCTTGACCTCGTGATCCACCCACCTCGGCCTCCCAAAGTGCTGGGATTACAGGCATGAGCCACCACAACCGGACTCTTTTTTTTTTTTTTAGATAGAGTGTTGCTCTCTTGCCCACACTGGAGTGCAGTGACGTGATCTCAGCTCACTACATCCTCCGCCTCCTGGGTTCAAACAATTCTCCTGCCTCAGCCTCCCAAGTAACTGGGACTACAGGTGTACGCCATCATGCCCAGCTACTTTTTGTATTTTTATTAGAGACGGGGTTCCACCATACTGGTCAGGCTGGTCTCACGTTCCTGACCTCAGGCAAGCCACCCGCCTCGGCCTCGTGAAGTGCTAGATTACAGGCGTGAGTCACTGGGCCCAGCACTAAACCGTGGTTTCTCATGGTGTAGCTAATTTGTTAGTCCTACAAAGGCAGATAGGTCCCCAGGCAAGGGGCAGGTGTTGTCAGTTTTGTTTCAGAGTCAAACCATAAACTAAATTTTCTCCTAAAGTTAGTATGGCCTATGCCCAGCAATGAACAAGGACAGCTTAAGGGTTACAAGCAACATGGAGTCGGTCAGGTCTAACCTCTCTCACTGTCATCACTGCCTCGGTTATGATATTTGCAAAGGTGGTTTTGCCATGTTGCTCAGGCTGGTCTTGAACCAGGCTTCAGTGATCTTCCCACTTGGCCTCCCTAAGTGCTGGAATTACAGGCCTGCACCACCACATCCGGCCCACCTTGGAGTGTGTTATATGAAGTGAGCTGTCCCCACATCCCTACAGCCTAGGAATGAACCTTCTGTGGAAATCCACTGTCTGTGAGGAGCTGTTCAGGACATGTACTTTTGTTCTCTGGCATACTCATGAATTAGAAAGAAATCACTCATCAAGCGGTTCTCCTGAGAGTCCTAATCATTTCCTGTTTTCCTGTGAACTTAGTCTCTGCGCTGTGCCATTTTTGGGGAGACCATTATCTGGGTCCCGAATGGATCAAAACATACAGGTCAGGGTGCTGCTCTATCCCTGGGGCAAAACTGAAGGGAAATGTCCCTGTGCTCCTTGGCAGGGCCAGGACCCCATGGAAGCACAGCCAGGTTGGGGGCATGATGCCCGTGCTTCTCTTTCGGCCGGGACACCTGCTCTCCAGCCCCCACAGAGCGAGGCTCTGAGTCAGCGCTGGGATTAGCATTAGCAGGAGGTACCTGCTGGGACGCAGGCGGCTGCCAGGGATGAGTCACCCAGCTGCTCCTCAGATGCAGCAGCAAAGCATGCAAGGCCTGTTCATGCCTCGTCCAGAGCAGTGAGGGGTGAGAGCTGACCTTGGCTGGCCTCCCTCCAGAGAGTGGGGAGAACATGTTTCACTCGCTGTTTTTAAATGCTAATGGCCAGGTTTCTCTCATACCCGCTGTTTTAGTCCGCTAAGGCCGCCCTACAAAGTCTGGAGTGCTGAAACCAAAGGGGCTTCATCTCCCACCATCCTGGAGGCTGGAGGTCTGAGATCCAGGTGTGGGCAGGGCTGGCTCCTCCTGAGGCCTCGCTCTTGAGCTTGTAGACACCGTCTTCTCCCTGTGCCCTCACTGGGTTGTCCCTCTGTGTCTGTGTTTTCACCTCCTCTTCTGTTGATATCTCTTAGTCCATTTCAGGCTGCTGTCACAGAACACCATAGACTGGGTGGCTTAGAAACAGCAGACGTTGATTCTCCCACAGTCCTGGAGGCTGGAGGTCTGAGATCCAGGTATGGGCAGGGCTGGTCCCTCCTGAGGCCTCTCTCCTGGGCTTGGAGACACGGTCTTCTCCCCGTGTCCTCACCGGGCCATCGTGTGCCTGTGTCCTCACCTCGTCTTCTCATAAGGACTATCGTCCTTTGGAGCAGGGCCCACCCTAGTGACCTCGTTCTACTTTAATCACCTCTTTAAATACCTTGCACAGTCCTGATCCCCTGGGGGATAGCACTCACTCTGAATTTGGAGGGGGACACAGTTCAGCCCATAGAACCCACCATCCATATAAGTCATTCCACTTCAAAATCAGCACAAAGCATTTTTTTCTAATCTCAAATCTGTATTTTAGAAATTGCTTTTAACACATTAGAAAAATAAAGAAGAACTTTTTTGTTGTTGTTTTTTCTGAGACAAACTCTCACTCTATCCCAGCCCGGAGTGCAAGGACGTGATCATAAATCACTGCAGCCTCCACCTCCTGGACTCAAGCAATCCTTCTGCCTCAGCCTCCCAAGTAGCCGAGACTACAGGTGCACATCCCCACATCCAGCTAATTTTTTTATTTCTGTTTAGTAGAAATGGGGTCTTCTCTGTGTTTCTCAGGCCGGACTCCAACTGAGCTCAAGTGGTCTTACAGCCATGGCATCCCAAAGTGGGAGGATTACAGGTGTGAGTCACCACACCCTACCTTTTCACTCTTGTTGCCCAGGCTGGACTGCCGTGGAACGATCTCAGCTCACTGCAACCTCTGCCTCTCAGGTTCAAGCGATTTGCCTGGTTCAGCCTCCCGAGTAGCTGGGATTACAGGCGCCCACTACCATGCTTGGCTAAGTTTTGGTATTTTTAGTAGAGATGAGGTTCCACCATGTTGGCCAGGCTGGTCTCGAACTGCTGACCTCAGGTGATCCAGCCATCTCGGCCTCCGAAAATGCTGGGATTATAGGCGTGAGCCACCGCACCCAGTGAGCAACTCTTTTTTTAATGGGCTTTGATTACCATTTGTGGCCTGCGGTTTCACCCTATTGTTTTTTTTTTTTAACAAATTTGCTGGCTTTTTGTCTTTTGAATGTCCAAGAAAACACCTTTTCCCATCTACGTGAGGCCCCCAGACCCTCAGGGATGCACATCTAATGCAGCTTCCGCCACCAGGCTCGTGAACAGTACAGGGGCGAGACGACACCTGCACTCCTCCCCTGCCCTGGAGAGCCCATAGGAGTGTCTGCAGCCTTTCAAACCATGTCACTCAGGTTTGCTGACCCGTTTGCTTCTGTGAGGTCATGTGGACTTCTCGGCCATGTCTTGCATTTTATGGTCTCTTTTCTACGCTGAAGAAAGTGAGCTGTAGAGTCAACTCTCTTTATGGAAATACTGATGGTGAAGGAATGATGTCTTACAGAATGTGGCAAAACTGTCCATTTGTGAATAAGGAATACACTGTCTGGGTGCTGATGGGAAGCTGGCGCTTTATCCAGTGCACAACAGCCAACTGGCCATCCGGGACCAATGTGCATCTTCCTTTGGCATCCATGCTGGGGGAGATGCTGTGCATGCCATGAAGACTTAGCTTCTTGAAAGGAACCATGGCCCACTTATAAGTGTTATTGGGTGCATGTATGTGCACGTGTGTGTATGTATGCATGTGTGTTTGCGCAAGGTATGTGTGTATACATGAACGTCCACGTGTGCATGTGGATTTTGTAATCATGTGTGTAAATGATGTGGATGAGTGCATGTGTGGAAGTGTCTGTGCACACAGGCAGATTGAGTGCCTGCATGTTTGTATAAGTGGAATTTGCATGTGTGCATATATGTGCTTGGGTCACATATGTATTGCCTGTTTCCCATGTGTGTCCATGTGCATGCATTGAGGGGTGTGCTACCACATGAACACGTGGGTACTGCATGAATATAACATATGCATATGTGCATGTGGAGTGTACGTATACATGCATAAGTACAGGTATGCGCATACAGACGGATGTGTTTATGTGTGCATATTTGTGTGTGAATGAATGTGTTTATGTGTTTCTGCATACAGGTGCACACATCGGGATGTGCATATGCACACGTGTCTACAGGTGTATGTTTAGGTAAATCATGCTTTATATGTGCTTATGTTGCCTGTGTGTGTGTATGCATATGTGTGTTTGATGTGTGGGTATGTGCGTGTGTGTGAATGTGTGCACTGAATGCATGTGTGCTTCTGTGTTGCATTTGCTTTTATGTGTTGCACGGGTGTAAATGTGTGTGTGTATGCACGTCTATATGTGTGCTTGCCTGCCTTTTGTTGCACAAGCTTGTTACATGCTACATGGTGTATGCACCTGCACACACATTTGTGCATGTCAGTGTGTGTTGCCCGTGCGTGTGTGTATCAACGGCATGTGTGCGTGTGCATGTGTGTCAGTGAGCTTGTCCGCCTGTGTGTGTTTCACATAGGCATGTACATAGACTCCCAGACCCTGAAATAAAAGCTGGTCTCCCTCTCCCTGGTATCATCCCCATTGCGCTAATGACTGTTAGACAAAGCACACACATTCACCTTCCTCCACCTCATGCTGCTTGGCTGTCCCCTCCCCCAACAAGACTGTAAATTCCCTGAAAATAGGTATGTGTGTGCTGTGCCGGAGTCGCATTCTCAACAGAGGCACTGCATAAGCTCTGCTGAATAAACACGAGTGTCCTTTTCCGTTTACAGGTGGAGATCACCATTTGGGGCATGCCTCCTCAGAAGGTAACTGATCGACTCACCTGGTCCCAACCTTTAAGAAGCGCACACACTCTTAAATCAATGCCTCCCAACCCCACGGCTTCCGTGGATCACTCACACTTCCTATGTATGTACAGTAGCCTCTTAACAAAAACGTCTGAGCATCTTTGTTCAGAGGCTACTTGACACACACACGCAACCCATCAGAGTTCAAAGAAGGGGCAAGCATTGGTATTCACTGCAGAAGAGGCCTCCTCGCTCTCAGAGCAAGACCGTGAGTGCTGAGACTGCTGGATTTCTCCCGGTACCGCCATTACTCTCCTTTCACCAGCGCTAACTTGAAACCCAAGCACGACAGGAGAAAGGAAGTTATGAACGCTCTGCCCAAAGAAGTCCTCAGAGTGCACCATCAACCCCATGTAGGGGCTGATTGTATCCTGTGTGGCTGGGAGAACAGGCTCCTCATTCCCTGAGTCTGACTTAGAGATCTGGGCTGACACCTGCTTGAGTTTAAGCTGAGTTGACGGTAAATACCCTCAATGCAAGGCTCTTGTGAGTTTTCAGTTATGGGGGAGGAGACAGTGATTGAAGGTGACCTCTACATTTCAATGCAGAGTACCAGGATCAATGTTTTTGGGTATGCTGGCATCCTTAGAGAAATTCATTGATTCTCCTTTTCCCCTCTGTGGTGTAAAGTGACGTTCAGAGATGGAAAGGGCTAGGCAAATGAACAAGCGATCGCAGCCAACTCTGACAAATAATGTTCTGGAACATACGTGATCCTGTAGACTGGGTCAGGTGACCGAGGTAGGGCTTCCTGGACAGAACAATATCCAAGTCGAAGCCCAAAATATGGGTTGGGGGGTGCCCAGGAGCAGAGCGAGGTGGCAGGGTGCTGGGTAGAGCTGCATTCGCACGTGGGAACACCAGAAATTGTGTAGCCGGGTGTGGGATGCAACAGGAACCAGGGAAGGATGCAGTGGTGACTGGGGAAGATGGCCAGGTTAGCGGAGGTGGACTCTGCGCTTCATAGAACCTTCAAAGGAAGGAGTCTGCCTGCCCCTGTTGCTGTGTGGGTGAAGAATGGATCTGAGGGGGCGCCCTAAGACCCAGGGAGACCCCCTTTCAGAGCACTTCAGCACTCCCTGGAAATGACAACAGGCTGAAATCAAGCCCAGGTGAGGGAGGAGAAGAGAAGCGGTCAGCTTGGATGACCACTTGGTAATGACAAGTGATTGTCCTTGATTGATTTGTAAGAGATGGCAAAGAGGAAAAGGCGTGAATCAGTCAGTTATGCTGTGTTACAAAAGACCCCAAAACATAGTGGCTAGAAATAACAACCATTTGTTATGTTTATGATTACGTGAGCCAGCAATTTGGGCTACTTCTGTCTCTTCTGAGCTCCCTCTTGTCTGCAGTCAACTGTAGGCATGGCCAGCGCTTTGAAGATGTTTTCTGGGTCTTGTTAATGTATCTGGGGCCCTAGGTGGAATGGCTCATCTCAGCTTCATGTGGGTTCTGACATCCCTCCAGGAAGCCAGGCCAGGTTTCATCACATGGTGACCAGGCAGAATACCAACATCACGAAGAGAACCGTGCCTGGGCTTAGAGCCATCACGTCTTCACTTCTGTGGCACTCTGTTGGCTAAAGCCTGGATTCTCAGAATAAAGATGCGGTCCTCCTCTGGATGGGAAACACTGTGAAGTCGTATTGTGCAGTGTGTGCACACAGGGAGGGGAGGAATACAGGGCTATCTCTCGCAGGAGGCAGGAGGCGGCAGGTGGCAGCACCAGCTGTAGAGCAGCTTCTTGCATTCAGTGACAATACTCTTTCCCCCAGCATGGCAGCCTCATTCATTGGAGCAGCCGTGTCCCTCAGCTGTGTCATGCCACGTAGCAGCCCAGGTGTTCAACCCGGTCTGAAGAAAGGCATGCATGGAAAGGTGGCTATTTCAAATGGAAACAGTGATTTCTTCCTTTTTTACCCTATGGAAGTGTCAATTTTTGTCACATCAAGGTCGTTCTTGTTCTTTGTGCAGGAGTACCGAAGGTCTGGGATGATTTGCCGTCGAGGCATTGAAGATGCATAGTCTGGTGTGTGGTTGGGTCTAGAGTTCCCGCATGCCTTTGAAAGTGGGCCTATCTGGCGGTTTTTAATTGAACAATATTTTTGCATGAGTAAACATTCTACATCTAAAAGGACACAAAATAGTTTTGACGCATGCCTATCACCCCAGCTACTCAGGAGGTGAAGGCATGAGGATCACTTGAGCCCAGGAGTTCAAGACCAGCTTAGGCAGCATGGTGAGAGCCCATCTCTAAAAAAATAAAGAAATCAGGCCTGTAATCCCAGCACTTTGGGAAGCGGTGAATCACTTGAGATCAGGAGTTTGAGACCAGCCTGGCCAACATGGTGAAATCCTGTCTCTACTAAAAATACAAAAATTAGCCAGGTGCAGTGGCACACATCTGTAATCCCAGCTACTCAGGAGGCTGAGGCAAGAAAATTGCTTGAGCTCAGAAGGTAGAGGTTGCAGGGAGCCAAGATCATGCCACTATATTCCGGAATAAGTGACAGACTGGGACTCTGTCTCAAAATAAGAATAATAACAAATAAATACATCAAATTAATAAAACTGTACACACGAATTCAACAAACAAACAAAAATGCCGAGTGCCTCCTCTGCAAATCCTGGCCTTGGATGTCTTCAGTGGTAAAATGTGGTTGACAAGCTTGGCTCTTTGTGAAAACAGAATTACTTTCTAAGTTTTTTTCTCTCTTTTGCTTATTTTTTAAAATGAAATTTCTCTTGTTTTCTGTGGACACAGGGGTGGGAAGAGATATGATGGAGAAGTTGTTAGTGATTGGAATTTTTGCTATTACTTTCAATGGCAAAAACCACAATAACTTGCACCAATCTAGTATTTAAGCAGTATTCCTGCCTGCCATGTTTTTTTCTCAGGTGAGCTTGCCTTTTCTCCACTCCTGCAGGCAATATGGCGGCAAAAATCGTGTCTCCCATTGTATCCGTGGTGGTGGTGACACTGCTGGGAGCAGCAGCCAGTTATTTCAGACTCAACAGTAGGAGGAATTGTTTCAGGACCCGTGGTAAGTCTTGCTCTAAACCTTGTTTTCCTTGTTATTAAGCCTGATTTAAAGAAAATTATTTTCTGATTTCTGTCACTAGTAAGGTTATTTCTGGTTAAGTTCAATATACATAACTTGACTGATGTGTTTTTTAAACATTTATTTTCAGTTTTCTTGAGTTGGAGTTTCACTTTGTTGCCCAGGCTGGAGTGCAGTGGCACAATCTCAGGTCACTGCAACCTCCACTTTGCAGGTTGACATCCTGCCTCAGCCTCCCAAAGAGGTGGAACTATAGGCTCACCACGTGCGTCACCACGCCTGGCTAATTTTTGTATTTTTAGTAGAGAGGTGGTTTCACCATGTTGGCCAGGCTCTTCTTGAACTCCTGACCTCAAGTGATCTGCCCTCCCCGGCCTCCCAAAGTGCTGGGATCATGAGCATGAGCCACTGTGCCCAGCTGACGATTGGGTTTTCATGGTCATATGTGAGTTGTACCTTCCTCTAAACTTTGTTACAATGACAGCGGCACATTATCTGTCTCATGTAAAATAGGAGGAGAAAAAAAGGAAAGAAAAAGAACCAAAAAGAGGCTGGGTGCGGTGGCTCACGCCTGTAATCCCAGCACTTTGGGAGGCCGAGGTGGGTGGATCCCAAGGTCAAGAGATCGAGACCATCCTGGACAACATAGTGAAACCCCGTCTCTACTAAAATACAAAAAATTATCTGGGCACGGTGGCGCGTGCCTGTAATCCCAGTACTCAGGAGGCTGAGACAGGAGAATTTCCTGAACTCAGGAGGCTGAGGCAGGAGAATTGCCTAAACCCAGGAGGCGGAGGTTGCAGCGAGCCGAGATCGCGCCATTGCACTCCAGCCTGGGTAACAAGAGCGAAACTCCGTCTAAAAAGAAAAGAAAAGAAAAGAAAAGAAAAAGAACCAAAAAAAAAAAAAAGTTTTTAAGCATGACGGTTGATTTAACTAGACAAATACAGTTCCGCTTTGTTTTGTATCCAGTGAAACTTTCATCACAGGTGAGTCAGGAAATATCAGGAAAAATATCTGGGTTGAATGTGAATGTTTTGCACAGACCCCACCCACAAAGAAAAATACAGAACACTAAATTATAAGCCTGTCTGTGGAATTCCGAGGCTGTGCTCAGACCATCAGGGAAACAAAGATCTGCTGTGGCTTCCTGGTTCAACGTTGGCTCCACACTCCTGGGTCTGAAGAAAAACTTCGGACTTGAGAGCACAGAATAGGAGGTAGAGGGAGGCTTTATAGCCAAAAGAGTGACTCAAATCTTAACTGAGGGTCTCTGCAGGTTTGGTTTAAACCTTACGCCACCCACATCAGAATCTGCCTGGAGTTTGCCCAGGGCCCTGTAACTCATACTTTCTTTGCGTCCCTGAAGGAAACTGGAGAGGGAAGTCCATTCCTAAGATGTTTTCTTCAGAATGTGCATTTGGCCTCAAAAAATCCTAAAACCTTCCCATGCGCGCCCTCTGCTGGTGAATGGGCAGAACCTTCCCATGCGCTTCCTCTGCTGGTGAATGGGCAGAACCTTCCCATGCGCGCCCTCTGCTGGTGAATGGGCAAAACGTTCCCTTGCGCGCCCTCTGCTGGTGAATGTGCAGTATCAACCATTGGCTAATGAACCTCCGTTTGGGGTGAGCCTCCGTCTACATGACTGTCCTGAAATTTTGAGAGTAACTGAGTTTCTGAAAAACAGCCGTATTTCCCTGGCAACTGAGAGCAGGTTCTTGGGTTCAGTGGCAACACTCTTTCACCCGACATGGCAGCCATCATTAACGAGACACCACATGTTAATTTCAGTAGCATCTGTGGCAGTGATTCCTAAGCCTTTGTTAATCAAGGGCTGAAACTGAGTGAGCAGAGCGAGGTACTCACCTCCACAAGCACAAAATGTCCCCACAGGGGCCAGGGTTCATCCACAAACTCAATAATCAGGACAAACATATTTCAGTGCAGTGTTTCAAAAGGAAAATCAAATCTTCAGACAACAGCCTGCAGGCCAGCTGTCTGTTCATGTCAATGAAGCTTTATCGGAATGGGGCCAGTTGAGTTTCTGAAATAGGTGTAGTTTTGAAAATGTGGACCATGCCTGCCCCATTGATCTGAGCTGGAAGCACGTTTTTGCTAAAGAGATGTGATGCCTTAAAGCTCTTTCATGTCTTTTGGCTACCCTTGCACGTCAGTGTTACCTTTACCAAGTATTTCCAAGCACCTTTAACTTCCCCTCGCTCAAAAATTCCTTAAAGGGATCAAAAGGGAGGAGGATGCAGACAGAGTGAGATGATGTTTGGGGAATCTCTTCAAGGTGAGCAGTGACTTTTATGGGGATCCTGGGCCTATATCACCTCGCTGGCTATAAAACCTTTATACTATGAAGGAAATACGCGTATGACAGCACTATGTATGGGTTTGGTACCAAACGGGGCTTAGGGATCTGCAGATTTCACTCTAAGTTTCCAGGCTGCTGCCAATGGTACCTGGCTGTCCATCTTTCCTTAGTTGGGTCATTAATTTTATCTCTCCTAAAGGATGATGTGCATGGTATACTAACACTATCAGTGGAGAGGCAGTGCAGTGCACAACCTGTGGAACTGTATGCATGCTGAGGCCATACACCGAAGCTTGCACAGTTTCTAGAGAAAGAGTTGTAGTAACGGAGCTACACAGATAGCAGCAGATGTCTGTCACTTGATGTGGACCTTTAAGAATCATTTTGTAAAGCGGAGCAAATGACATAAAGAGCAGTGAGGCCACATTCAAAACACGAAGTTTCTACAAAGATTAGTTTTAACCAAAGAGAAAGTTATGCAGTTCATTTAAGATCATCAAAATCCTTAACAAGTGGCAAAACGTAAAAAGCAATGTTTTGAAAGCTAATATTTGTTTGCAGATACAATTTTAACAGTTTTAAAATACTTTTAATTTTTAATTTTCCAGGTTTGTTAATGTGTAGTTGACAGAGAAACATTGTGTATATTTAAGATGTGCAACTTCATTTCTACATCATTTATTTCTGTTCTAATCTGTTTCCTTCTGCTGAATCTAAAGCAGGTCTCATGTAGACAGCACATCGTTGGCCGTTGGTTTTCTTTTTTTAAAATAGGTGTTTCATTCCTCTCACTTTCTTAAGGTGTAATAGACAAACCATGTATGTATTTAAGATGTACAACTTCATATCTGCTTTTTGTTTTTTTGTTTTCTTGCTCTGTGGCCCAGGCTGTAGTGCAGTGTCACAGTGTCACAATCTCGGCTCACTGCAACCTCCACCTCCCGAGTTGAAGCAATTCTGTTGCCTCAGCCTCCTGAGTAGCTGGGATTACAGGCATGTGCCACCACACTCAGCTAATTTTTGTGTTTTTAGTAGAGACGGGGTTTCACCATCTCGGCCAGGCTTGTCTCAAACTCCTGACCTCATGATCTACCTACCATGGCCTCCCAAAGTGCTGGGATTACAGGCATGAGCTATGGTGCCTGGCCCATTTCTGCTTCATTTCTTTCTGTTCTAATCTACTTCCTTCTTCTAAATCTCGAGCAAGTCTTCTGCAACAGCATATAGTTGGATCTTGTTTTTTTTTTTTTTTTTTAAGAAACTTTTTTTGTCCCCATGATGACATTTGTTTCCAATCTTCCTTTCAGAACCAGAAAATGTCTGAAGATTTTAAGATCCCCTGATTACTGCAAAACTCAAGCAAAACAAGAACCCTGTTTATCACTGTTGTAGAAATTTCCTTTTATTCTTGACAGAATTTGATGAGCTAAAGTGTGTTTTCTTCTGTGTGAAGTACATGAGCTGCCTAACTCATTGGATGTGATGTGGTTATAAAGATGAGTTAGGCAGCTAGACCCTGCATTGTAGAAAGAAATTGCTTTCTCTGTCCATTTGTCATTCATTCACACACAGAGACTGTGGCTCTCTGTTCCGAAAACTTCAGGTACTTCATGGTGCAGTAATGCACACACGCTTCACCATGGTGATGTGACACAGCAGGAAGCATGAGGGAGGCACAGGATCTTGGTGGGGAGGAGATTTTATCAGCTTCTCGGAGGTGAAGAATATTGTTGAGGTTCCAAGGATGCTGGACCTACACTAAATTCTTCAGCGATGTCCAAAATCATGGGGCATTCGTCATTGCTAATGAAGTGGGTATGAATTATTTATGACACCCACAAGCACCTCCTTTCAGCTCTGTTGTATCTGAACGTAAAGTTATTATTGAGAAAATAAGGCTGCATTTTGAAATGTTCAGTGCAGAACGACTTATGTTAAAACCATCTGGGGGAAATTTTGGGATAGTTTTTTCCCGGGAAATCATATAGTTTTGATGTGTTTTGGCACATAGGAGACAGAAATGGTGATTATCAGAAGTATTTTCAGTCTTTGAAATTCTGTAACTACTGGTTCCTAGGGCAAAAACATTGCTTTCCTTGCTTTAAACTTTTTCAGTTCACCAGAGTAGGAAGTCTTAAATCCCCAGACGTCCAGGAAGATGCCAGCTATTTGCTTCTCTTTTAGAAACACTTGTGGGCAGAGGGAAAAGGGTGGTTTGGGCCCATTTGCACAGATTGATTAAACTACAGTTAATGTTCATAAAACATTTAGATCTTGCCCTAAATATCAGAACCAAAGATTTAGACGTTCATGTACACTCTGGAATGTACATACAGGGGACCCATAAAAATTTCCAGTATTTATGCTTTGTGCTCCCCATTATGAATTGGGGTCTTCAAAGAGGGAAGGGTGAAAGTGGAAGCCACTTAAAAGAGCTCCCCAATTTGTAAAATACCTTCAACTAAGAATTCACATTAGGTCACTCAGAGTTGTGTGTCAAATTGTGGATTCATGCATAATGCGTGCAATTTGAAGACAGCCCGTATTTCCTGTCTCAGTATTCGGTCCTGCAACACTTTTTAATTGTCGTAGAAGTTCTCTTGTAGAAATGGTGAGGTCTGATGCTTCATTACTATTTTCTCT